ATGGGAGGACAGCGTAATATAAGCCACACAGCCCTAGTAAGCCTGGCCCATGAGCCTGAGCAGCACCCAGTGTCTGCACAGGGGCTGGGCCCCCCTGGCCATGCACTAACCTGGTTTGGTATTTGTTCTCCCTCGCTCCCACGTACATCTTCCTTCTGATGAGACACGATCCCCTGCAGCACAGCACCACCGGAATGAGTGCGGTTAACACCGGAGCGTTGGGTTGACCTGGAAGCTGCGTTCACTGCGGTGCTGCACAAGCCCAACCACGGTCACGCTGCACCGTGCCCCAGCACACAGCTCCCCCCAGCACCCCCATGCCCAGGAGCCCCTCTGCTGAGCCCAGGGCACACGTGTGAGCTGCCACCACTGTCCCCTCCGATCCCACCGCGGCGGCGCAGCAGGAGGAGGGTGTTCGGTGCGTGCTGAGGTGCTCTCTTCAATACACACAGGCTTGCTGTGTCAAGCTTTAACACAGAAGGTCGTACCTGTGGTGTTTTGGTAGATGAGTAACAAACATGGATTCAAACAACAAACAGCCAAAGAAACAGGAAGATGAAGCGGTCTGTATTCATCCTTTACTAATGGTTGCCTTTTCAGTAACGTCCACTTTCACCCCTTACCTCTCTTACAAAGGAAGTTCATTATAATCATACTCACTGCAGCAGCCTGGCTTTGCCTGCCCATGTATCCACACACATAAACCTCTTCAAGCCACACCGCAGGTGTAAACTTGGGGCTCCCACCCCAGACTCTGGTGATAACTTCGAGTAATTTCAACAAGGCCTTTTCACCGAGCTCATCCCTGCACCATTTTGGCTGCTACAGCATCCATTGCCTAACATGAGAACAGCAGCAGAGGTTTGCTCTGCCTCCCAGCATCCTCCTGAGAGCTCTCGGGATCCAGCCATCCATCAGCAGGAGAACCTGTGTGCTCTCCCTGCCCGGCCTTCCTGGGCTCCCTCCTGAGCTTCTGCATCTCCAACCTCCTGTTCCTCAGCTGCTGCGGGAGGAAGGCAGCAAGAAGGCCGAGTTGCACGTCCCTGCACAAGCAGAGCTGTAAAATAATACAAGCCCTTGCTTTTACTGGAGAAACGCGAGTCTAATTAATGAAGCTGCACTGGCTCCCGCACAGGAATGCTTGCTGAGCACCTGTAGGTACCAACAGGAATATAAACTTCCACAAAACACAGCTCAAATCAGAAACAAATGGATTATTGTCCTTTACAAAGAGCTCTCCCAACCTGGAGCACTCGCAGAGCTGTAACTCTACCAGCCCCTTCCCCGCCACCAAACCCCTCCCTGCGTTACGAGGCAGGTGCCACTGGAGGATGAAAACTCGCTTTATTTCAGGCTCCCTGCTCAGCCCTGGGGCAGGAGGTTCACAAACCCCTTTCCCCTGCAGGAGTTCTCACAATGCCTTTCTCAGCCACTGTAATTAGCTGTTTAGCCCCCCCCAAACACCACTATTTTGGCAGGACTCTGGCAGTGACCTCACCCACTTTCCATGCAGGAAAATTTCATGTTTGGGAAGCGGGATTATTGGAGGATTTTCTCTTCTGGAGCAGTGAAAGCGGCTCAACAGCTGCTGCAGCGCGGGCAAGGGGCTGCGGGCGGGAGGCTGCATCCACGGCTGGACTCCTCCTCCTCCTCCTCCTCAGCATCCTCTCCAGCAGGACGTGGCGGTGTCAGAGCAG